AAATATGTGTTATGTCCTTTGTAGATACTGGAGCTAAACCTAAATTATTGTTTTCTTTATTTACGTTTACCTTTTTAACTGTGAATTTATTCTTCCAGTAGAAAGACGTGTAAACACGTCCCGAAGCATTTTAAGTCTGACATGAAACTGATCACTATGGTAACGGGGGAGCACGTGGTCACGCAAATCCACGTGAAGCCGACATCAGGCGAAGGCTGGACCATCTCATTTTGCAGCAGTTTTGAGCATCCTACCCGGCCCATCAAGGATGTGGCCTACGTGGCCCAGACAGTGAGGACCCAGCCCATGAATCGAGACACAGCCAGGAAGTCTCTTGGAGGAGAGACGAAACGTTTCACTAAAGAAGAACCCATCCAGAGGACCTACTGGTTTTTTTCTTTTTAATATAATAACCCTGGTTTATAGTACCAGCACATAAAGCTCAATAATCTTTAGATGCAGCTGAAACTTTTTGTTAAGGTTTGGTGACAACAAAAGAGCTGCGAACATGACGTCCTAATTTGAGTTGCTCTGCCATCATTTTCTCTGCTCCTGTCACCCTGTCTGCTTTTTATTTTACCACAGTAAAATGTGTCCTGAATTACTAAATGTCTGTTTTTATCTGAAGACAMCAAACGATTCTGAGAAAGCTGAAACATGCATCATGTCAGTTATTTTTTGTACCCGTGCTTTATGTGAACAACTCCCACACCAACAGGACATTAATTCCAGTGGGATTCTTGCATGTATTAACTGGGTTGAGAGAGGATTTTTCTTTCCCCCCACCTTCTTCATACTCTGTTGCAAATGCAAACAGGGACCRGCTGTTTTTTGTGTGAAGAAAAGAAGAGTCTTAACCACAACAATAATCTATTGAGCAGCAAACCAGACTTGGCTGTGAGCCTGAGATTCATGTTCCTCTGGAGTTGTGCAGTGAGAAGTGCGTCACCTCAGCACAGCTGACCTTTGTGGTTATTGAACCGAGACACACACAGCTCTGTTTTCTTTTTCTTTAAAGAGTCTTCAGTGGACTAAATCCATTCATCAACATTTTTATTTATTGATTTTACTTTTTATTTTTTACAATTAATAAAAAAAAATAACAGCCAGTTTGTATTTAGTGAACATTTTAAAGCCACAACAACAACAAAACCCTCTAGAAAATCATGTGACTCATGCAGCTGCACAGGATGTTGTTATCTGACTTTTTGTTTTTTAAACCCTTCATGTGAAATATGTTGGCTACTTTTAACTTTAATATGTCCTTTATAATAATGTCTGTTTTAAAGCTATTTATGTAACTTCTAACTGGAAAAAACCAGGAAAGGAAATTCACTGAGTGCTCAAAAAAATGTTGCTGCATGTTTGACCTGTTGAATCTGGTTTTAGCCCAGGATCTACTGACAAATGCACCATTCTTTGCTCTACAATCAGCATTTAAACTGCTTACAGTTTACTGTTGAAATCTGGTTATAGTTGCTGATGTCTGGTGGACGTTTTAATAAATTGGAGTTCAGCCTGAAAAACTATTGATCTCTGAGGAYGACATTTTATCAGGAGGAAACTGTGGCGACAGGAAGATTAAATTAAAACAATAGACTGGGAAGTCGGCTGCCAAAACTGTGGATGCCAAAAAGTGTTTGAGAGTCTGAAATCTCAGCACCTGGCAAAATAAATGTTGAGTCACTGTTTCTTATGAACCAACCAGGACACCTSTCAACTTGATAGATGTGTTGGGTTAAAACTGCCCAGTGGAAATCATTCTCGTTGGTGATTTACACAATATTTCACCTCTCAAACCTCCAGTTCTAACATTCAAGGGTTAATTAAGCTAAAGGTTACTTCCTCAGATTTTCCTTTTTCCTGTTTTCTCTCCCATTTATTTGTTGTTTTGATTTATTGTTCAGATTACATTCCTTGTGCCATTTCTTCCATCATATCTGGCCTTTTTCTCTCCCCGCGCTGCAGCCTAACTTGTACCCGACCGTGGGCCTTCAGACTCCAGGGGAGGTGGTGGACGCAAACTTTGGCCAGCACCCGTTTGTCTTCGACATCGAGGACTACATGCGAGAGTGGAGGACAAAGATTCAGGCTCAGATCGACAGATTCCCCATCGGAGAGCGTGAGGGCGAGTGGCAGTCCATGATCCAAAAGTAAGAGGATTAGAAAACTGAATTATTCCTCTTTAAACCTGTAAGACCTGCGTTTTCTTTATTAACCTCTTGAGCCCCAAAACAGCCTTTTCTGTTTCCTATTTTAACTTCTTTTAACTTCAGATCTGTCAGCTGAACCTGGACATGTTTGGTATCATTAGAAACCTAAGAATCTTGAGCTAAAAGCTCATGGAAACTATTTTAACATCCAACAAACACAGTTCAAACGACAGTCAGTCGAATCAGAAAGTAAATAAACTGTACAAAATGGGATTGTTGCTAATCTGTAAAGTTAAAAAATTTGACATTATTTTTTTAAAACAAGTCAAATTAGATACATAAATATGTAAAAGTGTGTTTAAAGTTTTTTTTAATTGATTTTGAGTGAATATGACCCAACTAAAGTCAAATATAATTTCTCATTATTTTCTATAATATACATGGTGACAAATAAACGTTTAGATAATTTTTCAAAAGTACAAACATTCAATAACAAGTATTTTTAGGCAGGTAAGAAAAAATAAATAACTTCTGGATGTAAAATATTAATATTTCTTAACATTTTTTAATGGAACCATCATGGTCTGTCCTGTGCAGAATRACAAAACACTAAATTATTTCTTTACTAAAACCTCTGTAACTTTGCTCCAGTTAATTTTAGCAGCATGAATCTTTGCACAGCTAATGTTTATGGTTTCTAAGAGTTTTAGCCTGATTCATTATGGTTTTAAGTAGGTTATATACTGTCTAATGAAAAAATTGTTCAGGTGAGAGTGAAAAAAAATTAAAATATGATGTTCCATCCTCAATATCTCTAAAACCACAGCAACTGTTTTAATACTCACACTTCTGATGAAATCTCCCAAGGATTAGCTTTATTTTGATACCAAGATTATTTAAGCAGAGTTTGTAAATACTGAAATACACTCAAGTTACATTTCAACATGGTATTTTGAGAAAAACAAGAAAACCCCTTGGGGCTTAAGAGGTTAAAAAACAAGATTTAGTTAAAGCTTCAAGTAACAATGGGGGCAGATTTTTAGTCTTTGTCAGATTTTAGAGATTTCAGTCTAGAACTTATTGTGTTTCACATATAAAACGTAAAGCCTCTGGTTTGTTGTACGTTAAGTAGTATTTTCAAGGTTTCACAGTTAAGGTAGACTGAAGTACCCAATAAGTGAGCAGCTTTTTAACCTTCCTGTTAAAGTCAGGGGTTTGTTGCCTTTTGCCTTGCTAACTTTCAAAATGCAGAGACAGAGACGTTGAAAGTCTCTGCTCCCCTGAACCTGTAGCGTTGTTTGTCACAGAGCCAGATAAATGTGGATGTCAGCTGGCACGGTGGAAACACCGCTCACCAAGATCACTTCTCAAACAACAAGTGCTGAACAAGGAAACTGTCTTCTGTGCAGCTCATTTTTTTTATCCTTTTGGTTACTGTTTACTTTGACTTTTTAAAAATTTAGACTGGTACTATTTTGTCGTTGCACCAAGACAACGAAGGACTAACAGTTTGTCTTTACAGGCTTTGCATTTGGTTTGGTTTCAAGTATAAAGAGGATAGTCACCATTTTTTAAACAGATGCAGTTAAAGATTGTTCTTGTACACCACAAACCTCGCAGTAAAGGTTTACTTCTTGGCACACATTGTTCTTCTCACTGCAGGCTGCAGTAAAATGAGTTCAGCTGCTGTTGCAAACTGTTGCTTTGTTAAGATCTCATTAAACTTTTCCTCATTCCTTCAGATGAACTGGAGATGTGGGATGGATTAGTAAATGTTTCAAGGATGACAGCTCTAAGCTTTAAATGTTTGTTACTCAGTGCATCATCCTCACACAGCCAGTAGGAGTCTGTAGGTATTCTGTTAGTTTTTTTTTTAATAATTATAAATGTTTGTGTCTCATCCTGGACTCAAGGTGAAGAGTAATTTTCTCTGTTCAGCTAATGATGAGTGTTGTTTCATTAGGCCACTGGAGCTGACCAATTAATCTAAATTATTACATTTAAAAGGTGTTTGTTTTAGATGTTTCAAGTATTCTGTTGCAATAAGTTGTGTTAAAATGTTCTTTTACTTTCTGGTATTTATACTTTGTTTCACTGATCAATGTGCAGCAGCTGAGTTTTAAGTAGCGGGTGTTGAAAAGGCCCCAGGTGATGGGATAATGTTAACCTGAGCTGGATCAAGGCCCAGRTGGACCACTGGCCCCACAAAGAGTCCGAGCTGTGCTCCAGCAGAAAAGCTGCAGGACCCGATTTTGCTCATGCCAAGCCATGATGGGATTAGCTCTCTGTTGCTATGATTACTGGTYCTGAATGGATTAAATCTCCAGAGTGTTTGGTTGGGTGGAACAGAGGGAGTCGTTGCCTTTGACCAGTAAAGTCTCTGGTGGGTTGAAAACAGGAAGTCTTTAAGCTCTGGTCAGGGCAGTGAATGGCAAACGTTTGTAGAGCAACAGAGAAACAATCAGTCATTGAGAGCAGAGGCTTCTAATCACAAACACCTTCTGCTTAGTGTTAACAGGGTTAATTTATGAAAAATGAATTAACTGTGTGCTTATAACAAACAGCTGAGGAACAAGATCGTCCTGAAAGCTGTACTGTGTTTTCTATGGGATAAATCTTGTGCCATCAGGAATTAAATTTAAATTGCTCAGATTGAATCTGAATGTGCRTAATTTGAATCTGAATGCATTGGTTTGAAAATTTATTTCACTAAATTGAAACTGAATTTAAAGTTTTGTATCTGAATTAATTTGCTTTGAAACTGTATTTCGGTTTATTAAAAATTCAGTTTGACTACTTCCACTTTCAGTTCCATAATTCAGATTTTTGTGTCACATCCTGGTCCTTGAGAAAGCCAGGCAGAGTAATCAAACACAGATCCACAGATTTATGTTTCACTTTGGTGAAGTTTCCCTTCTGTATGTAACAGAGTTGATGCAATCCACTGAAAAAGTGACAAAAACAAAGTTATTTTACTGCAGTGATTAATTTGACCTATATGTCGAAAATGTTACATTTACATCACATCATGGATCACATGTTGATCAGATGCTGCTGCTGACCGATCCATGACGAGGTGTAAATGTAACATTTTCTACATATAGGTCAAATTAATCACTGCAATAAAATAACTTTGTCTGTTTTTGTCACTTTTACAGTGGATTGCATCAACTCTGTTACATACAGAAGGGAAACTTCACCAAAGTGAAACATAAATCTGTGGATCTGTGTTTGATTACTCTGCCTGGCTTTCTCAAGGACCAGGATGTGACACAAAAATCTGAATTATGGAAYTGAAAGTGAAAGTAGTCAAACTGAATTTTAATAAAGAAAAATACAGTTTCAAAGAAAATTAACTCGGATACAAAACTTTAAATTCAGTTTCAATTGAGTAAATTTTATTTTCAAACCAATGCATTCAATTTCAAATTCTGCACATACAGATTCAATCTGAGCAATTCAAATTCAGTTCCTGTTGGCACAAGATTTATCCCAGTTTCCATCTGAAGAAATGCAGACTTCCATTGTTGAGCACAGTTTACAAAGTGACTTCCTGCTTCAGATATGCCTGTTTCTACTCTGATTAGTTTTTCTCTACATGTTCTCATAACCAAGCTGAAGTTGCTCACATGTGCTCGTCCCGTTTTTGATTAAAACTAAAATACATGTTCATGTGAAATATCTTGAGAATTTWCTAGTATGATTAAAGATAGTTTGACCTGATGCTTTCTGTTTAAAAATCTGACAATTTAATCTAGTTTTAGTTCGTCTGGACAGGAAATCCTGGTTAAATATTATTTCAGCCTATTGTTTGAGAATTTCTCTGACAATAAGTGCTTTAATAATTTGAATCAAAGTCTGCTTCATGTTCTGCTTAGATCTGTATCATGTTTTACCTGCAGGTAATTTATTAAAACATAAATCTTAGGAGTTCTTTTATAAGTTTGCTTAACCTCTTTGAATTATGCTGAAATATTTAATGTAAACGAGTTATATTTATAAATTATTTCAACCTAATTAAAAAATACAATCTAAAGACTGATCATAGTGTGTGATTGTGGAAGGTTAGGGGTATGAATTAGTTATTTTTTAATAAWGTGATAAGTTGCCTTTTTCAGTTAAATAAACTTGAGTGTTTTTGTTTTCTTTTCCTGACAGGATGGTGGCTTCGTACCTGGTGCACCACAGTTATTGTGCCACAGCCGAAGCCTTTGCCAAATCCACCGACCAGGCCGTGCACGAGGAGCTCGCCTCCATCAAAAACCGACAAAGTGAGTCTGCTGCTTTCTTTGTGTTTTTATTACTCCGTCTTGATTACTGGTGTCAGATTTGTTTACACAGAGAAACGGCATTTTGAACATCGAATCAAATCAGGATTTGTTAATATTTAGTTGAGGATTAGAACTAAAATACAGTGTGGGGGTTAAATTATGTCCTGTTTGCTGTTGGTCTGCAGAGATCCAGAAGTTGGTGTTGTCAGGTAGAATGGGTGAAGCCATCGAGACCACCCAGCAGCTCTACCCCAAYCTCCTGGAAAGAAATCCAGATCTCCTCTTTATGCTCAAGTAAGACAAAATGTCTGATTAATTCAACACAATCCTTCATTAGAAACCTTCTTTTTATAAGAAAATACATCTTATTTGATTTAAACATAGTTGTGAGGTTTTATCTCTGAACTGAACATCTTCCAGATATTTTTTCTTTTTTCTGCTATAATCTTCATATTTACCTTTTTCCTTCGTTTAACTGTTGGTTGGTTGTTGTGTTCACTGTCTGCGTTCTCCCTCCGTCCTCTCTCCTCCCCCCGTGTCTCCAGGGTGAGACAGTTCATAGAGATGGTGAATGGGACGGACAGTGAGGTGAGGTGTCTCGGTGGACGCAGCCCAAAGTCTCAGGACAGTTACCCCGGCTCCCCCCGGCCCTTCAGCAGCCCCAGCCACAAAGCCAGCGGCTCCCAGCCCTACCTCACAGGTACGCTCCAGCTGGAGGTTAGGGCACATCTGCTGTAAAAAAAAAAAACTAAATTATACAGGAACTGTTATCTGAACGCCTGATAAATCAACAAGAAGCAAATAAACTTGACATTTTTTGTTGACTTGTAGGTAAAAAGTTTAAAATGAGCAGAAACTTTGAGTCACAGTTTGTGTTTTTTTATTGCTTCATATTATAAGAGTCAGAAAATGAAACTTGAGTCATTTAAAGTCATTAAAAACAATGTCTGCATGTGTTGTAGGGTTTGACAGTAACTGCTGTAATGGCGTGACGTCTAATAAGAGCCACAGCTCCTCCCCTCACAGTCACAAGCCCTGCCCCCCGGGCTCTGGCTCCRCCCTCCAGGGGTCTGACGTTAGCCTCAACGGGAGCCGCAGCCAGCAGCCCATTACCAGGTACCGAGTAACACCACACCAACGCAGCAGGATGACTGGTTTCATTTTGTTTGTTTTGATCTCCATCAGCTGCAACAAGTACAGCTACTCTTCCTGGAGTCGATCAAAAACAACGCTCACAAAAACAATTTTACCAGCCTTCACAGTACCACCAAAACAGTGACGTAGTTTTAACAAAAAATAAAATAAATAAATAAACAAAACAAAACACCACACACACCTACAATTACACACATTTTTCACAAACCTAGAAACCTATAACTCAATATGATTATTACAAAATACATTAAACTAATCCTCCAAAACAAACCATCATATCACAGACATGTCACCTGACCCAGAAATTAGTTTTTAAGTAGATACCTTTTCAAACTGGTATTTACTGGTTGCATTAATAATGTCACTTGGCAAATCATTCCAGCCAAACATTTCTCTATACATTACAGCACTCCTKCCGTTATTTGTCTTCACASKTGGAAGTGTAAATCTGCCCTCTAAACATAACTCATTATAAATATAGAACTAAACTCGTGGACCCAGCAGGCTCTAAAAACCTCAGGCTCAGTGGTTTAAAACCTGCCTTGCTGTGACAGACGATACCAAAGTCTTGTTGGGAGAAATAAATACACGAGATAGAAATAAATGTGGAACAATAGATTAAACAGGAAGTAGTAAATAAATCAGGCTCTATTTCTCATGTACTAAAGTAAATAATAGTAAACAATGTTCTCAAAGTGAGATAAAAAAACATCTCTTCTGCAGCTGTTTGTTTAAAACCAGTTATTTTTGTTGGTTCTCTTCAATTATATTAAGTATTTTACAATAAACCCTACTACCATTTTATTTTTATTTTTTTATGTAGTTATTCATTTCATTTTAAAAAAACTAACAAAACACATTACATACAACAAAACAATGCTAATCAAATAAAATGAAAGGCAGCAGAAGAAGATAAAAAATCTTTACCTGCTCCTATTTACAAGAAAAAAAATATTAATTTCAACAATAATAAACCAAAATAAAACAAAAATTCAACTCCTCAAACAGTAACTCATGCAAATACAAATTAAACAATTTCATATTTCTTTCACTATTTTGCTTTGATCATTTTTTAAAGGAATTAATTGAGCCAATGCTTTTATAATCATTTTCCAGTTTATTCTATAGTCTTAAACATTACCATTCATTCTGCACACAGCAGAACCTGCTGACAGGTTTTCTCTGTCCTGTCCTCTCAGTAACGACGTGGACATGGAGGTGGACCACTTCACTAATGGAGTGACAGAATCCTCCTCCAATGGTTTCCTGAACGGCACCTCCAAACACGTCACAGAGCCCGACGACTGTGATGCAGACATGGGTGAGTGTGGAGATCAGACATGTTGCTTAATAAGAAAGTATCTCACTCTGTGTAACATTTCTACAACAAACCACTTGTAAACAACTAAAGGTGTTCTGTTAGAAGAGAAAAGTACTTTTGTTTTGGTTAAAATGAGAGTAATATTAATAATTATAACTTCCTTCTCAATGTGTTCTGTTAAAATCCACCTTGACATCTAGCCAACATTGAAAATGGACATGAACTGTCTGCAGAGGTGGAGTCGACCCAGTCCAAGAGGCAGCTGTGCGGCGGGAGCCAGGCGGCCATCGAGAGAATGATCCATTTCGGCAGGGAGCTCCAGAGTATGAGCGAACACCTCCGCCGGGAGTGTGGCAAGAACTCAGCCAACAAGAAGATGTTGAAGGTACGGCAGCAGCCTCAATAACCCGTGTCTGTGTTGAGAGATTTAATGTTCAACATGTTATTTATATGTGAGCCGTCACATCGAAACCAGGATTAAGTCTAAAAGTTGTCTGTGGAGAAACAGGCAGATGTAGAGCTTCAATTTTGTTGAAATATAACGAATAAATGTGTTATCAATGTATCATTTCAAGGAACTGTCTGAAATATTATCCTAAAATTTTTTGAAGCACTTTTTGAGCATTAGCAACCACAAAAAAAGCAAAAAAAAAAAAAAAACATTGAGGAAAACCACCTTGAAATGTTGAGATTTTCCCTGTGAGCTAACAAAGCTTTTATTTCTTTCCAGCTGGGAAATCTCAATATTCAAATACTATTTGAGGTTTCATTTTTAAAATGTTATTTAAAAAAATCATCATTACAACGACAAAATTAGGATTTGGACCAAATATTTATGT